CAGGTGGTGGAGGGGGAGGAGGAGGAGGACGAGGACGACGTTGGCAGCAAGGAGAAAGAGAGGCTTTCAAAGAAAGAGAAAAGCAAGAAGGAAGCAAGCCCTCCTTCGTCAGAAGGAAAGACAATTAAAAAGGCCAAGCAAAAAGCAAGTGTTGCAAAAGATGGCAAGAAGCAGCAAGCTGGTGGTGGTCAGGAACAGCACCCCTCAGCGAAGAAAGAGGGGCAGGAAGAGGATTTTGAATTTCGTGCTAGGCAAGTGATACTCATCAAACCAGAAGGCAAATGGTACGATCTAGAATACACCAATGAGTTCTCTTCGGAGCCACAAAATCAGACGCTTCTGTCCAAGTATAAGGCCTTGGCCCAAAAGCTGTACCAACATGAGATAGATCTGTATAAGAATAAGACAGATTATCAGAAGGGGGCCTCGTCGGCGTGGATGAAAACTGTCGTGTCGTCGGGTACCTTAGCTGATAGGATGGCAGCGATGACCCTTCTCATTCAGGACAGTGCTGTCCACAGTCTCCAGTTTGTTGAGAACTTGGTAAACCTCATAAAAAAAAAGGGCAGCAGGCAGCAGAGCTTCATGGCTTTGGATACTTTCAAGGAGCTTCTCATTTCAGATCTCTTACCAGACAATCGAAAATTATGGTCTTTCTCGCAGCGACCATTTAACAACATAGAGAAGATGTCAAGTGGCAACAGGGATTCAAGAGACAGACGGTTGATACTGTGGTACTTTGAGCATCACCTGAAACTGCAGGTGGCAGAGTTTGTGCAAGCATTAGAAACACTGAGTCATGATTCTCTGACAGCAACAAAATCTCGAGCGCTGGCAGTTGCCCATGAGCTTCTCTGTAACAAGCCTGAGCAGGAGAAGGTTCTGCTTGTCCAGCTGGTAAATAAACTTGGAGACCCTCAGAACAAAATTGCCACCAAAGCCTCTTATCTTTTAGAGATGTTACTTCACAAGCATCCAAATATGAAGGGAGTAGTGTGCAGTGAGGTGGAGAGACTTTTGTACCGGTCAAACGTTAATGTGAAAACTCAATATTATGCTATTTGCTTTCTAAATCAGATAGTCCTCAGTCATGAAGAAAGTGCATTGGCTAGCAAGCTAATAACTGTATACTTCTGCTTTTTTGGGAACTGCATTAAGAAAAAAGACGTTGAATCCAAAATGCTCAGTGCTCTTCTTTGCGGGGTAAACAGAGCTTACCCTTATGCTGAGACTGGTGATGAGAAGGTGAAGGAACAAATGGACACATTGTTTAAAGTTCTGCATCTTGTGAACTTTGGTACCAGCGTCCAGGCACTGATGTTGCTGTTTCAAGTGATGGACTCTCAGCAGACTGTGTCGGATAGGTACTACGCGGCACTGTACAAGTAAGTGGCAGGTTTGCATTTTTAAAATCACTTTTTTTTAATGAAATGTAAATGTAAAGTTGTAGAAACATTTATTTCACTTTTAAGGTCTTGTGAGTTCAGCCTCTCATTGGCTAAAAATTTCGGATATGAGCTAGAAGAAAATACATGTGATTTCTTCGACTTACCTTGGGATAGAGGAAATCGTAGTGTTAGGTCCTAAGAACACAACATATGCATTTCATCCTTTGCTGTGTTTTTTGGTAGCATGTTTTAATTCCAGATGTTATTTGAAACTAATAGATAACTAGTTCTCCTGAAATCACTTTTATAGGTACTCTGCTTTAGTCTTGTGATAGCCTAAAATCTTGTTTCCCTTCTTGGTTATGGAGTATGGGCATATTTTATGTTTAGAAATTCTTTGGATGATGTAATTTGTATAATTGGAAATCCTGAGGCTATAAAAGTATGTCTTTTCTTGTCCCAGCTGATTGTTCAAACTCATTGTAGGATCCTTACAGGTTTCTGTCTAGTTGACCAAAGGGAGGTTGCTATTTTTTAAAAAGAGAACTCAAGTTCCTCCCAGACTGTGTGGTGTATTTAGGGGCCTTCCTGTGCCTGGCAGTCTGGAAAAAAAGCATGACAGAAGATGAACTTGCCAATGCAAGGTCTGATTGTGAAGCGTGCCAATAGCTAACAATTTTCTTTCTATTGTTTTGAACATCTGAATCTCACATTTTGAAACTGTTTTCAGTTGAACTCAGTTTCTTCATATTTTCTTGCAGTTGTTTTTGTTTACTCGTACAGGGTATTTTTTTTTAGTTCAAATCTTAGGTCTCTTATCTCTAGGAATATTACACCGCTGTTGACAACTCAGTGTTGATGTGATGGTTTTGAGGATTGGGGAACAAGCTTTGCTGTTTTTTTAGATGACACTCTGAAAAATATAGATGATTGTTGTTAATAGCAGTCATTCTCCTACATGTATTATGAGAATCAGCAATGTTTTCTCTTGTGTGTTCTACAGGAAGCTTCTAGATCCTGCTTTAGCAACCTGCTCGAAGCCATCCATGTTTCTAAATCTTGTCTACAAATCTCTGAAGGCAGATGTAGTGTTACGGCGAGTGAAGGCCTTTGTGAAGAGATTACTTCAAGTTACTTGTGGACAAATGCCACCCTTCATTTGTGGAACTCTGTACCTTCTGTCTGAGCTTCTGAAAGTAAAACCAGAGTTGAGGGTCCAGTTACAGGATCATGCGGTACGAGATGATTTCTTTATCTCGTTTTTTTCAATAAGAGCTATTTTCGTAAGCACCTTTCTCCTACCTGTTTAATAGTAACCTGAGGGTTTGATAATATGTTACGTTACGGGAAAAAGCACTTGAACAATTATACCAACATTAAAAATCTGCATAGGTGAAGGTGTTTTAAGCATTCAAACAGGTCCTATGGACTTCATGGAGAGAGGATTGTTTTGCTAAATGCTGTATAAGTAAGCAGGTGAACATTCTTCACCTGAAAGCTTTGTCAAAACATGGCCTGTTTATTTCTTCTGTCTGCAGTGTCTGAAGTATAGATAAGCAGGACTGGATTATTTTTTTTCTTTCTTCAGGCAGAGAGGGATTGTTATGTCTGTCTGTATTAGTGGCCGGCCCAGCCCTAACCCGTTACAGATGTAAAGTTCTATTTTAAGTACTGTATCAAGGCCCCCAAAACATTGGCCCTTATTTGTTTTGTGTTTTTGTAACTAGCTTCTTAAGAGCTATATGTGCATTTTTCTAATAAATCAGAATGAAACTGGGAAGGAAAAGCTGTTAGCTAACATTTTTTGTTGTTTAGGAGTCTGATGATGAAGAGTGCTTTAAGGATCAAGAAGAGGCTGAAGAGGCTGAGGAAAGGTTTGTGGATGCAGACAAAAAAGTAGGGGAAGAAAAGAGCACAATGGAAGATTCTGCTAAAACAAAAAATTCAAGTTCAACAGCATCATGGGTGCATCATCTGAATATGGGAGGTAAATTAGCAAGAAAATATAATTCATTTGACTTCTAACTTTCTTGTAACAGTGGCATGTTGGTCAAACCTTGAAGTAGAATTAAAAGTAAGATTAAAGCATTAGTTCTTCAAATTGAATTTTGATTCAAAGCATTCAGTCAGGAGAATTTTTCTTTATCTGTTAGCTCAGCAGTGACAAAGAGTCTGTGTGACTCTGCTAGTGTGCTTCACTTAATGCAGTTATTGCCAAAGCAATACATAGGCTCAAGATGTTTTGCTTCTGTTTTCAAACACTTTCAGAGTGATGTGTACAAGGTTAGGATGTGGAACTGCTCTTTCACTTGTGAAGCTTACTAGAACAATTTGTGTAGCTTTGAACTTGCTTCTAGTTTCCCTCTTTCCTGAGGACCTTTTAAAACAGAGCAGGGGTTTTCAGGAGCTTCTTGGGAAGCATGTAGGAACTCGCCTGTGACCTGCTCATACACTGGGAAAGGGCAGCTGATTGTAACTCTTACTTGCTGCTGAAGGAATCTGTGACCTGTCCAGCTGAGAAGGATGGGCAGCGTTACTATCACTGTTGAAATGAAAATAATGCTTTCAAAAAGTGGCCTGTTGAAATTTGTTTTCACCTCCTCTGCCCCTCAGGCAGAAAGAGTGGAGCTTCGTATGATCCTATGCACCGAAGTCCTTTATATTGTGGTGCTGAAAGTACAAGCCTTTGGGAACTGAAGAAGGTAAGGCATTCTTACGTTGCTGATTACTGTGATTCTTGGTGTGTGGTCCTTGTACCAAGAGAAGAAAATTAACTTGTTTTTTTCTTGGGAGTAGCTCCCTGAGTAACATAACAGAAAGGCTTTGTTCATCTTTAAGCTTGTATGTGTTACATACAATCCTTATATTCTGGTGAAGGGAATAGGAATTTTTAAGTGGAGCATTAGACATTAATGTATTTTTTGACTTTTGGATCTCAGCTTGATATCACTAAAGCTTTTTGATGGTGAATTAAATAAAATTGTAAATGAGAATGTGTTTAGTTAATGCAAAGAAAATATTAAAACTTGAGATTCTTCAGTTGTTAAAGAGCAGAGCACATCAGCTTTGCAATACATGTGTCTGCATGTTACTTGGTGAGTTACAGAGTGGTCTTAAGACACAGTGGTATTGTCAGGAGTCTGGTACATCAAGATGAGCAATGATTGCATAGATTTTTAAAGTAGAAATAAATAAGTGATTCATATTTTTCAGCTTTCTGAACATTTTCATCCATCTGTCGCCCTATTTGCAAAAACAATTCTTGAAGTAAGTGCTTTTAAGTTTTACGTTAGCTGTCTTTTGCCATTTGAAAAAATACATTAAACAGCCTCCTTGCACTCTGCAGGTTACTAGCAGCTCCACAGCACTGTAACGTACACTCAAATGCAAAGCTTTTTGTGGCATTACAGTTTTTTACCTAAAGGAGACTGCTTACAGAAGTAACTATCTTGATAGAGATGTGGGTGTGACATGATTCTTCAAGCTTATAGAGTCTTGCTCTGTGTTTTTATTTCAGGTGTGTTGTTGGGTTTTTTTATGGGGAACCCTGCCGTTGGAACAGATTATTTTTTAATATTCTTCTGGTATCATGCTAAAAATACTGAAGTCTACACAAATGTATTTTCATTTTAATATATGGTATCCAAATAGTGCTAAGTATTAACTGCTAGCAGCACGATAAGTTGTAAGACAGCTCATTACCAAAACAAAATGAGGGAGGTGTTTTTTACTTAAGAAAATATTGAAATTCCAAAAATAACAGTCTCTACAGGAGCATATTAACGGGTCAGTCTTAAGTGATGAAGTATCCCCAAGTTTTTATCTGTTTAAAGCGTGGGTTAATATTCTTGGGCAGTTTACATCCTCTGTGTTTAGTAGCTGGCTTTCTGAAAATTAAGACCTTAATGGTTTTTGACTTTTTTCTTCTTTGAGGGAAATCACATTCAGTACTCAGGTGACCCTTTGCAAGATTTCACTTTAATGAGATTCTTGGATCGCTTTGTGTACAGAAATCCCAAACTCCATAAAGGCAAAGGTATGAACTTCTCTGCACATATTAGAATACAATCCTGATTATTGATGATGACTGAACTCCTTTTTCTCTCAGATTGCCAAGTAACTCTTCGTGCTTGTCAACTATTTGAGGTGCCTGTGGTGCAACAGAGGAATGGGATCAGTCTTCAAGGCTGCAAGAGAGATGCTGTAACTTAGAACCAGCTGACAATCACATACTGCTGCCTCTCACATCTGCAGTGTGGAAATTGCTAACCTAGGAGGAATAAGCAAAGTGATAGGAGAATGTAAAGGCTACAGAATGGTTGCGGTTGGAAGAGACCTCTGGAGATCATCAGCTCAAGGAGGGACACTTAAAGTGGGCTGCCCAGGGTGTCTAGATGGCCTTTGAATGCCTCCAAGAATGGAGGCTCCGCTGCCTCTCTGGGCAACCTATGCCAGTTCACGGTTGCCCTCACAGTGCAGAAGGGTTTCTTGATGTTCAGACAGAACCCCTCGTGTTTCACTGTGTGTCCATCACCTCTTGCCTTGTCACGGGCAGCACTGAAAAGTGCCTGGCTCTGTCATCTTTACACTCTCCCTTCAGATATTTATATGCATTCAGGAGATCTCCCTGAGCCGTCTCCAGGCGGAACCATCATAGCGCTGTCAACCTTTCCTCACAGGAGACATGTTCCAGTCTCTTCATATCTTAGTGGCCTGTCAGTGGACTCTGCCCAGTATGCCCATGTCTGCCTTGTACTGGGGAGCCCAGACCTGGACCCAGCACTCCAGGTATGGCCTCGCCAGTGCTGAACAGAGAGGAAGGATCACCTGCCTCCATCTGCTGGCAACACCTCTCCTAATGCATCTTCCTGTCAGTCCATTGCTCCAGCCTCTTGAGGTCCCTATGGGTGGCAAGCAAAACCCTCATAGCTTTGTTTCAATAGTAATAAAGTAATTTGTTTCTAATTTATGTTCTGCTACAGAAAACACCAGCAGTGTGGTAATGCAGCCGAAGAAGAAGCAGTTTATGAAAGATATGCGGAATCTTGCAGGTAAGCCAGCCCCTTTTCAGTTAAGATTATGGCTAAAAAATTCTTGTCTGGCTGTTGTAGACAGGTGTCATCTGTGCTGTCTGTGCTATTTCTGTTAGCAACAAAACAAAGTTGTCCATCAGGAGTGCAGTAGTGGTGCCTGATGTTCAGGATCAGGTCTAATCTTCTTCTAAGGATGTATGGAATATCCAGAGCAGAAACTTCAGATTTATTGAATCGTTTTAAGAACATTTTGAGAACATAAAGTAGGAAGCGACCCATAAGGATCATTGAGTCCAACTCCCTGCTTCTAGGACTAACTAAAAATAAGCCATATGACTAAGAGTGTCATCCAGATGACATAGAGAAACATCAGTTACCTCAGCTGTTAGCTTCCTGAGTAGGAAAACACTTTGTCTTTACTGTAGCACTTGGCAACACACCAAATATATTTTTAAGACCTTTCTTTTCTCTCTATTTTTCTCCTTTAATTGTCAATTACTTTCAGTTGTGGTAATTCCGTTTTCTTGGGCAATGCAAGATGAAGATCATCCCTTTTGTTTAGCCATCCCATTAAACGTACAGAAGTGAAGGACAGAGCTAATGAAAACTGCATGCCTTGTTTTCTGTTTTGCTATTTCCTGCATATGCTTCTTATGCCTTCTCTTATGTAAAGTTGCTTTTTTCCTGCATCCCCCTAAGAAGATTTACATCCCTGGGTAAAGAGCAGATTTGCAATCTGATCTAGCAGTAGTTAATATAGTAGTATTGTGTAGTTAATGTTTTTATTTGTTTCCAAGTTATCATAACCACTTTCGTTCTACTTATTATGATTGAAAAATGACTTTAAATCACATTAAGCTCTTTCAGTAAGTGGTATGGATTACTCTGTACATTGCCACAGCTGCAGCTATTGTTAGGATTAGTGTAAGGTGCCTTTGGCACTGATATTTTGCTAAGTCTTCCTGCATCCAGAAGGAGGCTGACTTGATCTAGTCATACTTTTTCCAAGGACTAAGGGCAGGATTTGGTGATAAAAACCAGCAGTTAAAAATCAGAGTAAACAATCAGTCAAACAAGGACAGAAGAGGTACCATTTCTGCAGCAGAACCTCTGTAAGCATTCCTAGGGACCTGGTTTTCTGTAACTTTGGATCTCTTGTGTTGCAGAGAGGATTTAGTTAAACGGGTTAACTGATGTACCTCTACTGATGCATGGTTTAGAATGCATTTGAAGGTACAGCTTATTGCATTCTTTAGTTTATTCTGAGTTGAAGGAGCAGACCCAGCATTCAGGGATTCAGGAAAGGTTCTACAAATGAAGCACCCAGTCTAAAAAATACTGATATATTAATAGATAGAAAAATCTACACTTGTATATAACTGGGCTCTGCTGAGGGCTAGAGAACTGAAGCTGCAAATTCATCGATATATTAATAGATAGAAAAATCTGCACTTGTATATAACTGGGCTCTGATGAGGGCTAGAGAACTGAAGCTGCAAATTCATTTGAAGAGTCCTTCTGTGAGTATGCTGATGTGGTTTCAGAAACTTGAGTCCTTGTCATTTAGAAAACATTATCATCCGTTTCTGCTGAGATAATTGGTAGCACTTTCTCCTTTGATTTGCTTCTGAGGTGAAGGAGGGAAGGGGAACTCGAGAGTAAAAAGCTTCTCCACAAGGAACCTGATCAATACCTTAGCCAATGTGCTGTTGCAGTGTTATATTTTGTTGCAATTCCTCAGAAACAGAGACAGGGTGAGGCTCAGTCCCTTCAAGGTGCTCACCTGGTGGGTGATCCTGACTTGCAGCTGCTGCTGAGCATTTCTCCTACAGCCAGGAGTGCTGTGCAGAAGCAGTTGCAGTATTTTAGTGCATGACAGCGAGCTTATTTTTTTTTTTTTGTATAGTCTCGCTTCCTGCGGAAG